GGCTCCCACTGCCTAACCTTGCTTTCTGAACCTACAAGAAAACAAGCTCTCTTCCAGCCGTCAAACCTTCAAAAACGCGCCCTTTCCGGCCGTCACAAACATTCGAAAACGGCGCCTTCGCCAGTCTCAAAAAGGACGGTCCTGAAGGACGGGCCGGGCTTGCGGGCGACAGCCCCTAGTCAGTCCTCCTCTAACGCGCTCCCCCTGCTGGCGGCAGGGGTCGGCGGATTTATACATATGTGTAACTGTTTTTTTATGCTCAATTTACATTTTGTCATATTTTATTCATCAAAATAACCATAAACAGGCGCAATTCTTCACCATTCTCAACCCAGATGATCCACATAGCTGTCTCATCTGTGCAGACTGGCAGGTTAATCCGTGTGTTTTCTGCGCGCGACTACGAGGCCCGGGAAGTTCGCTGGATGTCTCATGGCTACCTACGGACTATCGACTGATATCGACTGCAGGGCCATGGAAATGATGGCGCAGTGCTTCTGATCACCAAAGGCAAGCCACGCAGGAAGGAAGGTACGCAGTGGGCAGTGGGCACGCAGTGATGCAGTGACTGAGTAATTGCGGAAGCTGTGCTTCTGGCAACATCACACACCAATCCATGTCCTATGCCCTGTCAGATCCGAAGCAGTTGGATGACTTGCTCGTGGTGCGTCCTCAAGTTCTACGGTCTGTGAAAAAGCAGAGAGCAGAGGTGCCAAGGGAAACCCGACATTTTCAGAGTGCTTGATCACTCCCACTTTAAAGATTGTCATGCAAGCAAAATAATATCAACAAGATGGTGAGGCACATAGAAATCACTTCATTATATGATGAAGATCACACACACCTGATCACGCATATAATACATGTTATATATATATATACACATGTCAATATACGCATATAAGATATATAGATACACATACAATCATGCACACTGCACACTGCACACATATTAACTGATATTATGATATATGAAGTGATATTAAGTGATACGAAGTGATATGAAGTGATATTAATTGACTTTAATTGATATTAATTGATATTAGTTGATATTAGTTGACATTAGGTGTAGACATACTATTTTTATTTATTTTTTTAAATACATCGATCATGCAGAGATTTCTGTCAGGCAAGGCGGCGAGCCATGGAAAGTGGCGAGGCTCAGTCTTCGGACCCTGGAGAACTCGAATTCACCAGGAGCCGGTGCCGAAATCATTCGAATTCATCATTTTCAGTCGATTTTAATGGGAAATCATGGTAAAACTCACTGAAAATGCCATTTTTGGTGAATGATGGCAATGTGATGGAAGTTATATATGTTATATTAGATTGTATCCCCTGAAAACATTGAGTCACACCCCTCCATGCTGTGGGGAAACCAAGTTCAGAGTTGCCACGATACCTGTCTGGACCGAAGGCTGGTGATTTTCGAAACCATTGCAGAATTTCTTTTTTGGGACATGTTTTTTAGAGACCCCATATCCATATATATCCATCAGTTCTACTATGTTCTACTATTCTTTGTTGCCATCTCAGACTAGAACGTCTTGATCCATCAACCCAGTCATCTCCTGATTATACTGGTTACGTCAGATTTCACCAAATTTGGTTGGTTTATGTCGGTTTAAAGCTTTCTGTTAACGGTCGTCCATTCACATTTTACCATTGGTAATACTGATAATATCTGATAATGGTATTAGGATTATTCGGATATATTATATAGATATTATTGGTTAACGCCTACTAAAAGCCATTAAAACCTTGGTACTTACGAAAACCAGCCGGTAGGCCTGGCTGAAGTTCTTGTAGCGAAGCGAGTTTAGGGGGTCCGGGGGTTGATATACAATGATATACACATATATACATACATATAATCATATATACATATATCAATTGCATGCTTCACAAACAGACTGTATAGATTGTATAGCCCCAACCTAGGCCCAACATGCGCCCAAGATGGGCCCAAGTTATCCCAATTTCGCCATAAGTATCCCAAAAACTTCCTTTCCACGTTCGTCCCAAGTTCTGTGTGCATTTAAGCCTTCAAACCGTCATCAAAATGAGATCACACTGCACATCAGCATTGCGAAAACTCCGCAGCAGTAGAGAAGGCTTCAGATAGGTTTGAGCTCCCCGCAAGATACAACCAAGAAGACCCAACATTGCCTAGATATTCCCTTGCATTCGCCCAACAAACGCACCCACATGGTTTGGAATCAGCTCAGACCCGCCATGGGCCCAACAGGGAATCATCAGCAAATCAGCAGCAATAGCACGGAACCATCCATTTTTGCTGTGCATATGGTGTGCATATTTCCTTTAACATGACTAGCAAGTTTCAATTCAGGAAACCCTCCAATTCCCAGCACTTTGCTCATGACAGTCTAACGCGAGTCCTGAGGCATCTACCCTTTCAAGCCTTGAAACCACACTATACCACACTTCATCCCACACACTTCGTTATTTTCGTTGCGCGCCTCATGCAGATGTAAAGCCCCAGAGCTGACATGGAGTAGTTCTCAATATCAAATATATGATGTTCATTACAAAAAAACATCAGAAAAGATCAATGGGAATGCGGAAAAATGATGTGAATCTCCACTGCAGCCGTGAATCTCTCGCCTTGGAACACGACCCCTTGCCTCCTTCGAGCAAACACCAGGTACTGTATTTCGTTCCCCCCTTCGACCCTTCGAGCCATGCGAAGGAGATTGAGCAACAGCTCCCGTGGCTCCCAAGAATCTCAGGGCTCCCGTGGCTCAAGGGGAGTTCGTATCGGCCGGGATCCACAGATCCGCAGCTGGTTGAACAATGGAGGTTTTGAGCCTTCAAAAATGTTGCTTGAACATGGTTGAACAATGAGAATCCCTGGATTTTGAATAATTTTCACAACCATTTTCAGGGTTTCCATGGGTTTCCCAAAGTAAATGATTACGACAAGAAGTGGAATAGGTATGAATAGGTGATGTTGTCTCTTCACCCGGTATTTTGGGGTGCTAAGAGCAACACTGAACAGGCGGGGTTAAGCAACCAACAAGAATGGTTAAAGGACCAAACTAGTCAAGGGGCCCGGGTTGTATTTTCTGGTGGCAGGAAACAGAAAAAGGATTTTCTGATACATTACGCTTCCATTTTTTTGGGTTCCTGCAAATCTTCCTTCTGGAACAGACTACTTGAGATTGAGTGGGAAACTGTTAGGGTACCATTCTGTGAGATTTTCCGATGAATTTAGCACAAATGAGTTCTGTTTGTCGCTCTTCAATCCAGCACATGTGAGATAACTGCAGTGAACTTTTTGGAAATCCGATGAGAATACCCCATATCAGAAAGTGCCCAAACCGAAATCCAAACGATATTTCTGGAATATAAAGTCATATAAAGTCAATAATCTAATGATTCTACTTATCATGGGTAAAAAATCTGAACCTCATTCGATTTCAGATGGTTTCCGGTGGTCAATCTCGCTCAGGTGGTCGGAGACCGAGCAGCAACTCGGTGATCTTTTTCCCGATCGAAAATCCCCTAAACTGGATTCCCATGAATAGATCCAATAAACAAAAGCTGGGTTTCATTGGGCCCATTGGGTATTGAATATTAGGGAAAGAGGCTGAAAGAGGCAAAAAAACAAAAAACACCGGTTTGACGAAGTTTTATGGTCCAACAGCAGATGTCCGTCGATATCTCCGCTATGGAGCCAGCAACTTGCCTAGTCAAAGACAACTTGCCATTTTTTACCTATTGGCTTTCACCTTCCAGAACTACAGCTACGTCGTTTGCGAAAAAGTTAAGATTCCAAACCCGCAAGTTTTGGGGCCTAGCTGCTGCCATCTTAGGAACTGGTGGGGACAGTCCTCGTAGAGGCCCTTGTGCCATGTGTACTGATGGGGACGATGTGGAGAATTGGACCCAATTGAAATGAATGTCGGACTCTTGCCCCCAAAAAAATGATTTAAAAATGGGTTGTTCTAAAGGCTTCAGGATTGACATACCACCGCCCAAAACCTATCTGTGGTCGCAGGAGCTGCCAATCCTCGGGCCCGTCTAGGTTCGTCGTGAGGCTGGGAGACTGGGTGAGGACATAGATCTCGATATATCTCGATGTTTGATGTTTGGTCGCATCCAGATTTTTGAACCAGATTTCATGATTTCACCAACTCGTTTTTTATTTTTTCTATCCACATCTATCCACGATGGAAAATCCAATGATTTACCAGGTGAACCGAGCAGCCAACTGGTTTCCCTTCCAGGAAGTCATCCTGGGCACAGTGTGAAAAATGCTGTCTGTGGACTTGAAATCACAATTTATTGGCATTTTTTCCTTAGGCCCCTCCATTTTATTTTATTTTTTTAGGGGTTCCACCCCCCCCTGGCAACAGACGAGGGTAGTGAAGTTTCAAATGGTGCAATTTTCAAGCCGCTGCCAACAATATCTTCTGAGGTCGTGATTATTTGAGGTGAGACTTGGGCACAAAGAAAAGCAACTTTGCGAACTTTTCAGCCCCGTTTTTAGGCCATGTTCATCAGCAGTTGTAACATCTGACAAGTGTTCAAGTGTTCCGAATCGCATCCAGAAATACCGCAACAGGCGGGATGTCTCAAAAGGAAAGTCTCACCCACCGGAAGCGAAATCGCTTAGTCTTCTGCGAAGAATGGTGGACCCATTTTCAGGGTAGCAGGATAGCTGACGCAATGATTCACCAGCGGCCAGCTGCCCGCGTTTTAGTCGGCCAATGGCCTACTTTGTGACGCGCCCAGTCGCCTTTGAAAGAGTTTCGCTGTGCTGATCCTCCTGGTTGATGAACAGATGGCCGTTTCAGGATCCGATTGATTGGAGGTACCTACCATAAATAAGGCTTATATAAGGCCTATGTAAGGGAATATCCCCACAAAATATGGTCTTATATTTACAGTACCTCCATTTTAGGATCCTGAAATTCCCATTGAAGAATGCCCCTCCTCAATTTTCCAAAAGGAAATCATTGGCTAATAAGCTGTTTGAAGATATGCAAAGCTGTGAAGTCCGACAATGGCAGACATTTTTGCAGCTGAGGAAAAAGTATGTATATATATTATATATATATATATCATTTGGCAATATTTGGCAGGTCAAATTCCTTTCCGCCGGAAAAAACATCCACGTTGTTGTCAATCATGAAGATCTTGCTGGAGGCGCGCTTTGAAAGCAGTTTTTGTTTTGCAGAAACACATATATTTCATCAATTTTCATCATATTTCCTTTTTGACGGTCAACAAGAGATCAAAAGTAGAGCTCTTTGCACCAATTCTATCCAGTGGATCACAGAAGTCGGATGGATTTGCCAGGATTCGGTGCGACTCCGCTTGGAGCCGGAAGATTCATTTCAGTTGTTTCAGGACACTGCGCATGGAAAAACCAAGAAACGCAGAATTCTTTTAAACACAATTGGGTGAAACTATCGCAAAATGGGATATTTTACTAAAGAATATGGTTCTTTCCTACACATCCCCCTCTCAAAGCAAACAGAACAAATTCTTGCTGGTCCGTTGGTAACCCCCGTTTTGAGCCCAGACCCAAGCGTCGTTGACACTTTCCTTTCGGCCTCCACACATGACCCCTCAAAGAAAAAATGCTTGCTTTTTCTGCGAGAATATGAGAGTGGATTCCAAATGGATGGAAGTAGCAGTTGCACATATCATGGAAAAACAATATGAAAATCATGTTGTTGAGGTCTTTACCCCATTGAAAGGTCTCGTGAACGTTGCTCGGATGACCTTTTGTGTGATTTTTCTGGTATAGCACATGGGATGCCAACTGCAGCTGTTTCAAAGGCTGGCACATGGATAAAAACAGCTAGATTTCATTGCCCTATCCATTAATGAAAGTACTTTTTGAGGCAAGTCTTTTAGGCAGAAACACTTCGCATGGTTATCAAGTTAGTAGCATGCTTGTACACACCACACACTACAATCTCTGGAGCAACTGGCTTGTTGTTGCTCTTGTTCTGCTTGGTTTGATTGCACGAGGATTGGCTTCTGAAGCATGCTGTGGAGCGGCCGAAACAGCCTTAGCTGCCATTGGCAAAGACTTGGTTTGATGCAGTTTATTTTTTGTGGTTGCGTCATGTTGTGTCCATTTTTTGAGTTGTGTCATTTGCATCCAATTTTTCATGGCAGTCTTTGATAGTTACCCTTCCACTGTCGCGCGACAATTAAACACAAAAATCACAATTTCAAATTAATGTTCATTGTAGTAGAATTCCAAGTTAATTTTTCATATGGTACTCAGGTACTCTAGTTTTTTTCAGACTTGCCCTGTTGTATATCTTTAGACAACTGGAAATCCACTAGTTTTTGCCACCGAATTTTGACTATTGCAAGGCCCCGCAGTGTGGGCATTTTCTCCTTTGACGATGTCAAGTCCATTGTCGAGTGACACCCCTGCGCTCGGTGGGACATGGACTGCCAACACCACAACGATCATTAGATGTTACCCTGGCATATATTATATATATATATACATGTTCAGTTTTTCGCAGGTTTAGATTTATGGGGCATTATGGATTATTGATTATGATATATTATGATATATTATGATATATTATGATATATTATGATATATTATGATAGATGATCACCAACATTTTGGAGTGTTGACATGTTTGGAGTTTCTGCAGGATTCTGATATATCCCTGCGAGGTATGCCACGAATTCCTTCTTTCGGCACTACAGGCAGTTACCTCAAAACTTGAAAAGTGATGAGTCCGCGAGCAGTAGACCGAGCAGTAGATCGCTCTGTTTTAAGGTGGAAATGGGCATGGGAATGTGTTCAAACATCTTCAGACAAATCCGACGTTTCGATTTGAGGCTCTATATGTATGCCTTCATGACTCATTGCGACGTGTGCCTTCGTGTTGGTGAACCACTGGGAGGTGCCGTGGTGACCGGTGGTGACCCCATGGGTCCGGTGGTGACTGGTGCAGTCGCCAGGAGCCAAACCTCTGATTCTGAAACCGCGGGCGATGACCACGGAGTCAGAGGTGGACCCAACACAGCAGCCGGAGCTGGCGCATTTGTTCAGGCAGGGAAGGATTTCATGTTTGATCCAGTCATATTTGTCCTATATTGTATTTTCATAATATATACATACACATTATCCGTTCCCTTTTTTATCTCTCTCGCTCTCTATCACTATATTGATATGGAATTGTATAGACGTAATGTGATGTAATAATGTAGCGTAATATCATCGTAGCCAGTAATATATATGTATATATATATATACATATATACATACATTAATATTAAATATATATATATGTATATATGTATATATATATATATATATATATACATACATACATTAATATACACTATATTATATACACCAAGTTGTGTAGCAAGAAAAATCAGCGTACCTCAGTTGTATTTCTTGCCGACAGGCCATCTGAGCAGGAGCAAGCTGAAGCAGAGATGCGGCGCTTGCGTTCCAAACAGGAACCTGAGGCAACGGATGTGTCGTTGTGTAATCCCAAAAAAAAGGTGGGCAAATGATGGTTGCCTCCCACCTTCAAAAGTGGATGGTTAAGGTTAAAACCTGCACTTTCTTCAACTTTGAAGTTCGGCATTCGAGTGTGTTTTGAAACTGGAAAGTACCATCTGGTTATTTAACATAGCCATGGAAAATCACCATTTTTAATAGGTAAACCATGGTAAACCATCTATTTTTATGGGCCATCTATACCATGGCGAACTGGTAGTCATAACCAGAGGCTAAGTGGAGTTCTCCTGGTTTTTCGATATGCCAGGATGAGAGATCAGCCATGATCAAGCAACGTGTGGAGGAAGGAGTGAAGAGGCGCCCAAAAGATGCTGAAAGATCAGCATAGCCAGAATTGACGGCATGGTAAAGATTAGCTGCGCTCATGGATATAATGATGGTTATGGATAGATATATATATATATACACTGTATATATATATGTATATATATATATCCAATTATAGCATATATCCATAGCTATTGGATATAATTATTGACACCATTGATTCTTTTTCCAATTGCTACCGCTGTGCGGTGTCATTGGGTCACGCCGAGAAGGGTACATATCATGGGACTCCATGCCGCGAGTTTCCAACCAAAACACCATCGAATCGCTTTGCTCTGGAGATATTTGGAACATTTTGGATCTAAAGTCATACTTGCTCCACTTTATTACGCTTTCTGTCTTTTGATCCTAGGCTGATGGAGGACTTCGAGTTGAAATTGAAGGAGCAGGCAACGGCAAGCGACATCAGTTGGGGTCAAAGTTGGGGTACCATGGGACCATCCCATAGCCCACATTGACTGTGTCAGGATGAGCGCTTCCAGACGATGTTGAATGGGTGAATGAGGAGCGAACGCCAACTTTTCCCATTGGAGATATTGGAGATGAGGGGATCAGAGATAGCAGAAAAACAATGAAAAACATCGCTTCCAGCAATATCTGTCCAGTTGTGCTTCGCCTTTCTCAGTTCGAAGGTTTCACCACTGCGCGAAAATCGCGGCAGTCAGTGACGCAGCTTCATGAGGAAATAGATGCAGGATGCATTGCTTTACGATTTTCATGATGATTTTGATCATGATCTTCATGGGTTTGATAATGGCACAGCATCGACACGTGGAGTGGTGGTTCCGTATGTCATGTTCGTGGAGACCTGAACATGGTAGGATCTGCGGTTAGGGTAATGTTTCAAAACCGATCGACGCCCAACTGTTGGTTGGTCAATTTTCATCACAACCATACCTAAAGCCATCCAAATTGATTGTGTTTTTTGGGGCTGCATCTGTACCCTTCAAGATGATTACCTATCCTTATTATTCATATTCCATTCATATTCCCATGCTTATCCCATTCTTATCCCAGGGATATATATATATATATAATATCATGATATATCCCATGTGTATCCCATATAATTCCCAATTTGGGGCGAAAATCATGGACTTTGGCTCAGCGAGCCTTCGGAGGTCTGCCGTGAAGGCTGTGGATCCACCTGGGGATCACCGGATGAAAAATGTCCATTGAGTAATTTGAGCAATGGATTTAGAAGATACACACACAATCACACACATGTGTATATACTATATTATATATATAGTGTATATATATATTATATATATGATTATATATGATTACATATGATTATATATGATTATATATAATATATGATATGTATCTATACTGTATATACATAATCCACATATCAGTCTTCAGCACTTTGTGGAGGACGATGTGAACTATACCTATAGATCAATTTCCTTTGATGTAGCTATGAAACCATCGCCAGTTCCTTGTTGGATGGCCACTTGAAAGGCCACGCTTGCATGGCGGAGATTGAGGTCTCCGATGTCAAGAAGAAGGTGCCAGTTGCAATTTTGAGCCGGGTCTAAGAAAGTGAAAACACCAGGATTCCAACCGATCTGGCAGATTTGGTGCATGCTTTACTGCACTGCCCAGTTTTCTTCCATGCAGTTTGCAGGCGGAGAGCAATAAAGTCTCGAAGCAACTTGTACTGCACTTGCCCCGGGCCCCTTTTCGGAATATTTGAATTAGAATACTATGATGATTACTATGATTACTATGGAATACTATGATTACTATGGAATACAATTTCCATATAGCTTCAAGTCTGACGCTTCGGCATGATCTTTGTTGCACTTCTACTCGCTGACCCATTGACCTCAAGTGGCAAGACCTGCAGCCCCAAATTAGGATCACAATCTCTGAAGGACAGAAGATCGTGAAGGTGGGCTAACAGTGCACCTTGATGATCTTTCCATATCTTTCCTATCAGGGTCATGATGTGTCATGATGTGTCATGAAATCATCCAACCTTATCCATCCTTTCAGGGGCATCGTGGGTACATGACTCTACACGCGACTGCGGTGCAGGCAGCAGATCCATATCCGTCCAGAGCGATTCCATTGCGGGCATTGGAGGAAGATGACTATGTGGAAGCGGTTTCTGCCTGGTTCTCAGGAGAGGTTCGTTGGAATCAGAGATGAATTGGATGAATTGATTTGACTTGTCTGGAGTCTCTGATGATTTCAACCGCCAAGTCATTCACCTTGAAGCTTAAAACATCTTAAAACCCCTATCACCGAAACGTCTCAAATTGCTTCATCAAGGTAAACCTTGTTGCACCTTGGTAACTCTCCAGGAGTTGCATCAACATCATTCTGAGGCCTTGATCGAACGAGACTTCTTTCCAGATTTGCCTCACTTGCGGGCGCGATATGAGTTGATGCAAGCTCGACTCCGTGGGGACAATGCTTTAGCGAAGGCCCTGGAGAAGAAGTTGTTGGAGCTGCCCAGAGCCACCCCGGGTGGCACGCCTCGACCAGCCGGGATCGCGGCGACACCAACTGACGAAGCCATCGGAGCTGGAGCTACCGCTGGTACCGCCGCTGCAGCTAGGCTCAGCGCTTGGGAAAGAGATGATGGTGCTGAGAGTGTGGCCAGCGCTAATGCTGGAAGCGTAGCAAATTATTCGCAAGTGCTGCTTCGATTGATGAGTGGCCGCGAGGTGGTGGTGGATCTTTCTACAGTTCGTTTGGATGATTTTCAGAAGGTCTTTACTTCCGAAGACAATGCGTCCTTCGAAGCCGTGTTGGAGAAAGACCGAGAACGACGTCGGCAGAAAGAGTGGTGGGTTGAAGGATCTGAAGAGAAACACAACACGAAATGCCAAGCATTGAAGGATCAAATCTCTGAGTCTCACAGTACAGGTGAGATCATGACTTGTGAATTCCAGGCACGAAATACATTTTACTTCAAGCCCAGAGGTGAAATTCCTGAGCTCATCGAGAAACCCACTGTGGAGTCCCGAAATACTCGCTTCACCACACAAGAGCAAAGTGATCTCGACGAAACCTTAATCGCTGCCATTGCAGCCAGACACGCACGAGAGAGTGGACAACAGTTTTCTGAAGTCTTAGCAAAAATGGTGAAAGATGGCACCTTTTCTGTGGCCGCGCTGCATAGTCATGGCAATGTACGAGCAGTTGGTGGACGTTTGCAGACCCCCATGGGCCAGGCAGGTTCCTATCCCATGGTCAACACTCCTGCGTTGCTGCCGGGAGAGAATGGCTTCTCTCCGCTGATGACTTTTGGAAAGATTGAACCTTGACCGATATCCAGGAACTCTTCAGCTGTTCATCTGAATGGTGACAACATGGGGACAAAAAAGGCTGATTTACTGTACTATATCACATTATATCGCTTTATCATACTTTATCATACTTTATCATACTTTATCATACTTTATCTGTACAGATGTTGATTTACTGTAATCTTTTGGGTAGGAGGTTTGCCAGATCTGAGTTTTTTGGGAAACATTCCATCAGAAGGTGAGGTAATTGGTAGGACCGGTAAGGATTTTTTTAACCTCACCCGAGGCATCTACTCCTCGGGTGTTGGACGAGGAGAACGGGCCAACTTTCCGAGTCCAGGAAGAATCTGCCAGGGATCGGGCAGCTGACAAGTTGGCCAAAGGGGCCATGCAGAAGCAGAGGGAATCCAGGCAGAACTCCAAGAAGGACGGAACTCTTTACGGAACATGAGGAGTTTGAGTTGGACCTGTTGGACACCAATGACATCTAGGCCATCCAGGAATCTGGCTCTATATGTGTATTTTGAGATATTATACGATATATATATATATATACGATAGATATGTACAATATATATATATATTTAGATACACATACGATATATATATATACACATACGATATATATATATACATACGATAAATATTACAATATATATATACACATACGATAGATACAAAAATACATAGATACATAGATACATAGATACATAGATACATAGATAGATAGATAGATAGATAGATACATAGATAGATAGATAGATAGATAGATACATAGGTAGATAGATAGATAGATAGGTAGATAGGTAGGTAGGTAGATAGATACATAGATAGATAGATAGATACATACATACATACGTACGTACGTACGTATATATATATATATATATATACACGATAGATATGCGCACAGGACAGCTCTCTTACCCTCGCTTCCAAGGTGCTCTGTTTTCATCACTTGTTATTTTCACATACCGGTATCACGAAAGCTAGCTCTGCTAGCTGAAGTCCCTCTTGCTTTAGCAAGCTATTGGGGGGGCTGGAATCTCCAATCGCGTGAAACTTCACAGTTAACTACCCCCCCGGGTCGTTCACAAGCACTTTGGCCGCGGCTCAATTCCCCGCGGGGACACCGTCGGCATGTCCCCACCGGTAGCAACATCGGTAGCATCCGCATCCTCTGCATCATTGGCATTGTCAATAGGGCATGGTTTAGTACATGCTCACGTCTTGGATCAGTGGGGTTGGGACTAGCAAAACTACGGTCAACTGGTACCCTCTGTGTTTTTATGCCCAGCTACCTGCCGAGCTAGCTTTCGTCCCTTACCCCTGGCACGTCATTCTGTAAATGTTCAAATTGTTCGATACATTTTGAGGGGCAGAATGACATGGTACAGGGATAGGCCAAGATATTGAGAAGAATGTTCGGAAACATCACCCAACATTGGTTCGGTCACCTGAAAGATCAAAAGCCACTCCAAGATCACTCGAAAGAATTTGCCAGAACGCAGTAGCACCTGAACATTATTAGACCACCAAACCCACCCCCTGAACATGAAAGCTGCGAGGAGACAGCCATCCTGAGAGTGTGTAATATACGTATCTATATATACGTACAATTACGTACGTACATACATACATACAAATTTATATTTATATTTATATTTTATTTTTATATACAATATATATATATACATTATATTGATTAATTCATACATCAAGAAATGGATGGTGAAAGCAGCCCTTGACGCAGGAGCGCTTGAAGGCCCTGGGCGTGACGCCCGGCGCCAGTCCCAACTCAGCACGGCCAACTCCGGCGTCCGTGGCGTCGAAGGTGACACCGATGACGCCCATTGGACAGTCACCTGGATGGTGGTGAATGCAGGTAGAAATTATCTGGGGTATCCACAATGTATCCACAATGTACCCGGCCTGGTAAACATACAAAAAACTATTGAACATGGCCATAGAAATAGTTGATTTTCCCAGCTAGAAAATTGTGATTTTCCATAGCAAAATGTTAGTTTACCAGAGGGTATCCATATTCCCAAGAAAAATGGAGAGCGATTCGGAACTACAAAGTTTCACAAGCCTGGTAATCATAGATATTTTTTGTTGTGGCCAGTATACGCCTAGTCTGAAATTTTGGATGGTGGTTGAGGTAGATATTCACGTCGCTTCGCGACGGCAACCGCCCGCACCGCATCGTTGGGCAGCCGCTCGTAACTGCCAATGATGTCGGCCATTGAGACCAAAAACATCCGAAAGTACTGATTGTCGGAAAAAAAAAAACGCGAAGAATTTGATAGCCATGTATAGCGGACCAACGCAGTTCAAAAAATAACGAAAAACATGAAAAAACGGCGAAATTGCTGTTATTTACAGTGTTTTTGCGCGGTGAGAAGCAGAAACCACTGCAAATACCATGGTTTTTGAGGGTCAGGTGCCAAAAACACTGTAATTTACAGTGTTTTTTTAACCAACGTCAAAAAACACTGGTATTTACGATGTTTTTATTCACACCGTAACAATCCGTAACATAAAACAGCGTAATTTACGAGGTTTTTGGAAGTTTTGAAGCTAGCCGTCAAGCATGCAGAAAACAGAAAAACACTGTAAAAACCAGTGTTTCTGCTATCGCAAAACGACGAAAATCAGTCCGAAAACGGGTCCAAAAACTCAAAAATCCGCCTCCGGGCCCGGCCACCTGCGGAACCGCAAAAAAAGATGTTGCAAACCAAAAAATTGAGGTCAAAAAGTTGAAAAACACGGTTTTTTTTCACTTTTCGCTTGCCGATTTTGGACGGGCGCGTTCACGAACAGGTGTCTTCCGTACTGTTTTTTACAGTGTTTTTTGAAGGCGAGCGTCACGACCTATCAAAAACAGGAGGTTTTGGCCGAAAAATGCCCCCCCCCCGCCAGGTAAACCTGTAACCTTTTACGAGTGCCATCCGGAAGATCACGCCCCAGCACCTTCGGTGCGGGCGGATTTTTAAGAGTCAATTTACATCATATTTCACGAAATGTGTATGAATAGTTGTGGGTAGGTGGAAACTGCAATCAATCATGGGTACTGATGCAAATTTGTTGAATTCGGCAAGGAAACCGCATGGCAGGTGGGACCTGAACTGGAATGAAACATGGTCCAATGGGTAACCACTGCTGTACCAAGGCTGCTCCATCGAGCACAGAGGATGGCCCAAAAAGGGGGGCGTTTGCGAATTGCTTCAAGCCAACGAACTACGCCAACGCCTTCAGAAAGAGAGGCAGCGCGGGCACCACACCTGGATGTGGGTATGTCATCAATGTCTCAAAATCATGTTTCACATCCTTGAATCACTCAGCACTGCTACCTTTAGGGTTTCCTGGGGCCAAGACATCAGGTAATTCATGGTTTCATGGACAGGTCAAAAGACCGCGCACCAGCAGGACGACACCTGCCACTTGTTTGCATCTCTAGCAGTTGGTCAGAGCGGGTTTCGTGGTTGCGGTTTTAGATACCCTCTGGTAATTTAACATAGCTATTGAAAATGGCCCATTTATAGTTGATTTGCCTATTCAGGATGGTGATTTTCCAGTTCGCTATGTTAGTTTACCAGAGGGTAGGTATCGTGATTGTTAGATACACCTGGAATTTCATGCTTGCAGTTCATGCTTGCACATAGCCGACCTGGCATACCTATCCCATCGCCAAGACGTTCGGCGTTCGCCAAGTCATTAGATTCCTTGTCTTTGAATCTCATGGAAAGGAACTAAGGAAAACATTCGATTTTTTGAATATGGTTGATAATGATGATATATGTTGATATTGCTCTTGTATATAAAGCATACTCTTGTCGCCCTTGTCATCTTTTTCCTTTGACCACCAGTTTATTCCGGCGAAGTCGTTGCTTGTTGCATCTGTTGCGACAGGTGCAGATGCCGTCGGCCACCATTCCGTCTTCTCTGATGGCCGACCTGCTGTGACGCGCTCCACCGCACGCTCAGTAGGAGCCAAAGTGGTGTGCCCAGAACGCGGTGGACAATGGACAGACACATGTGCGTTTCACTGAAAATTGCACCCAGCTGGGCATTGGGCGTAGACATACATACCAAATCATATACTGTACATCGCTCGCCTTTGCACAAAGGGTGATTACAGCTCTTCTCTGTGTGATGTCACAGACTCTTGGACTTCGCCATACTTCACAGCTTGGCAAAATCCTTGTGCGCTGCCTTTGGCTGAGAAATTCGAACGGAGACTTTCTGTCTTCCAAAGCAAGATGCTCAAAACAATTGCGCAGATGGCATGGCATCAAACACAAGAGACATCAAGAGACAGCAGGGGCGGCATACCGTCGAGTCCGAGCTAACGGGCAGGGAGCTCACGGGTTGTTTCTGTGTGCGAAGTCATGCGAAGGCTTTGGTACTCAGCACCAGTGGTTTTCTGAGTTTTGGCCAAGGCCATGGCAGTTGACATGGAAAAGATCCGAAAAGTTCACTGGGTGCCTTTGATGCCCCATTTGGGGCGCAATCCATTGCTTCTTATTGAGGATGAAAGTTGATGCAATGCACATCAGATTCTTTCGAGCTTATGATCTCGCGTCTTTCAATGTGGGAGCACTGGGAGTATGTTGGGAGTTCTGTGTTTCTGCATTATCTGCATTGCCAAAGTAATTAATTTCAAAGTATTGATCAGTTTGGAGTTCAATTAGTTCAATGGCAATAAATGGCAATAAATGGCCATGATCCACATCGTCACGAAGGGCCTAATTCCGCATTTTTTTGGAGCGGGTCGTCACATGTCGTCAGTCACTGAGGTACCTTTAGAGTCCAACCCAGACATGCTGAATGACTTTGCACGGAAGGTGGCAAAAACATGCAAAAACAAGAATTTCTGATCGAACGACACCTATCGTTTTGTAATGTTTTGTCATGTTTTGTCCAAGTTTCCAGAGTTACGGTTTGGAGTTCTCTCAACATGTCCGATCTATTCTGATCTTGTGTTTGATGTGTTTGGTTTTTGCCACCATTTCAGCCCTCAGGTGGGCCTTCCCAGCGACTTTGAGTTCATGGATGTTTTCAGTACGCACTGCGGTTCTGAAGTTTCGTGAGCATTTTGAGCGTCTTGCCGTGGTTCTGAGATGTCATCCCTGGTCGATAGAATTTGGCTTCTGCATAGCATGTGGATCACGGAAAATGCACAGTCAGACTTAGAGTGCCATGGCATTTCGCCCGCATATTTCCAGATTCTTCCAGCATCAAAAGAGATTTGACCTTGACAATTGAAAGCAATCAACATTTGACCCACTCTTTATTGCCTTGAGCGTCTTTGAGCATTTGGATAGAGGTGAAGCAAGGGGGAACCCATGGGAACCCGTAAAGAAACTGCACTGCTTCAATTTTTGGCACATGCCATGCTCAGCATGCTGCCAAGCTAAGAGCAATGGCGGAGTTCGCTAATGGCAGGCAGGGCCTCAGGATGCCTCAGGGCAGATGAAATCAGGGCTGAAATCCACACGTCGTGTCTCGGGGGGTGTAGATGTGCGTTTCCAGAATGGCTGAGCTAAGTCGTCCCCCTCCATTACTAGCATCATCATCATCAGCATCATCATCATCACCATGATGACATGTCCGGCATCTCAAGAGCACAATGATCAAGGACAACAAGTAGTCATATTGAAAGAAAAGTAACATTACTCAAGCAGTGTTGAATTGAGATTAGCACTCACCCGCAAAGCACATCTTTCAATAGTGTCAGAAGCACATCATCCGTTTGCAACACCAGCAAATCCACACGTTGTGTGCTAGGCTACTCTTCATGCCTCCCTTTGGTGTATTCAATTGACAGTTTTGGTACTGCATACGTGAAACACAGGTGCTAGCCCCAGAAAGGCAAAGCGGTCTCCCAGGCGCTGCGAAGTTTCTTCCTTTGTGACATTGAAACTTTGTTGTCGCTCGTGGTTGCAAAGCAAGCGCAGCAAGTGCCACTGCATGCTGTGCTTTTGGAGGCAATCCCCTCGAGTCCGGGCAAAAGCAGGTGCGGCTTTGTGGTGAGGGCAGTGCGAACCCATCCGTTTGGGGTTCCAATTTCGTGGAGCTCAGCCCAACAAATGTGACTTGCCAGGTTCCCCTGGCGTGCGTGCCAAGGCCAAGATGAGTTTGGCAATTGACAGTCGATGTTTTCGCTGTTAATCAAGCAACTCTGCACGAGCGATGGCGTTGCAGGCTCCCCATGAGAGTGTCATCCCTGCAACTTGGATGTGCTCAATTTGGGGTGCTATTTTATTTTCAAAGCTTGATGCATCCAGAGCTGTTTGAATCTACCGAATGTCTCAATATCTTCCGTTCAAATCGCTATCATATTCCTGCGAATTGAGGAAAAAAGGCTTCGCTTTGAGGGTACTCCCCGCGTTGCGCCTGCTTCAATTTCTGCCCTGCCTGTATCGAATCCTGCCGAGGCCAGTGTTTTCTGGAGCGGTGCGGAGACGGCATTGCCGCCCAAGGCGACTGTTTCTGTGCCAAGCTGAGGGCAGTTTTTTATGCAGCGCTGAGTATTGGATTTGTTATGATCTGTTACAATTTCATACATTTTCCAATGTGATGTTTCATGATAGTGGCAGGATGAAGAGCCACTGTCCTGCCAACATGTCACCTCTTGGCAGGGAAACTGTTGAAGTGTAGTGAAAAAATGTCATGTGCCAAGGCGAGCTCGAGTACTTTGGGTTCGGATTCAAGAAATACAGGTCGGTCATGGGTAGTCCAAATGCCAATGCAAAATCGCAAAGGATTTCACCAAAAAAAATGGTGCCATTGTCTCTTCATGTCTCTTCCGATGTCAAGCCTTTTGACAGGTGCAGTTCAGTGCTCAGTACCCAACGCAAAGGGTCCCAGGGTGACATGGCGATGTTTCCCGCCGCGACCTTGAGGCAGAGGCACTTGAAGCTCCTGTGCCATTGGCAACGGTGGATCTTTGGGAGGTGCGCTGTTGTTGCTGTTGGTTTCCTACTTGGTGAAACATGGTGAAACTTCTGAAAACTGGAGGCTCAAGGTGGTGGCACAACTATCTCAACTCCAAGGACTGGCAGATGGGTTTTCCTGCACAAAAGGTCTTGGAATGGCAACTGGTTTTTTTTGTGGCGCAGTGGGATTTGTTAATCCCCAGCACGCAACGTGCCAGAATTTGTGACAAACTTGCTGGGTAGGTGATCCTTGTTTGAGACAAGATCCACCCGACCCAGCAAGGGTGCATCTTTCTCAGTTCAGTTTTACTGAATGATTGATTTCTCTTGTATCCTTCAGTCAACAGACCTGGACAATGAAAAAGTGGTCCCATTCGTTTACATTACTCACATCATGAAGCTTTTGGAGATTCTTAGGATTTCGTGCTAGATCTGCTAGATGAAATCACCGGAGGGTCATGTCATTACTCCAAGTGCTACCGCCAACAGGACTCTGACTCCACCTCAAGGACACGACCCGGCGGATCAAGTGGCAATCCAAAAACCAAAAGGCGAGTTTTGCCAGGTTCTGCGGGGTTCGATAGGGGTTCAAGAATTCATATGGTTTCCTGATGGTTTCATTCAACAGTTGATTCCCTGTGATTTCTCTTGAGGCAAGAAGAAAGGTCCCAGCTTTGTAGTGCTTGATGTAGCAATGAGAAAGGACATGGTAACATGACACGGTCGACTTGCAGGACAGGTGCGCGTGCCCTTGCAAGCGCAGCTTGGTTTAAAATGGACTGCTCGGGCATCATGCTTGAAGCGAGCAACATGCTGTAGGCAAATCATCAAGGTGTGTTCTGTGGCTCATGAAATAAAAGATGCAGAGTGGCTAACAAGGACGTGGTATACAGATGTATACAGGATATACAGGTAGCCAGCAAGAGGATATCACAAGCAATACGGTCATAGGCGACATATGGCGACATAACTTGATATAACCATGTCCCGTGGTAACCAACAACTCGCCATACGTCTAGTGGACATCCGCAAGAGTTGGTGACCACCGTGCATGACTAAGGTCTGAAGCAGATGTCGAGAAGGTTGAGACTTCATCAGAGGCTTCAATGCTGCAAAAGGTAGTTCAAACAAACCTGGTTGAAGCATGTTGAAGCGATCACATTTCCATACTGGTATCCACGCAGAGTTATTGGGCCGAGTATTTCCAGAAGGGAACTGAAACATGCAACTTGCAGCCCAACAGCCCACATCAGCCCACATCAGCCAACAGCCATCGGCCAGGCTTCGAAGGAGTTGGCGACGGCATCCACATTGCTGGCACCCGGAGCTGGAAGCCCAGCCTGGAGCATGTCGCGGCAGACCTGGTCTCCACGGGTGTGGAGCTCAGATGGAACCATGGCCATGCTTGGAGCAACATGATTTCAGGGAGCTTGATTCACGAAACCCAAACCATCCAAACCCGACGTTTTTTTGCATGTTTGATTTCCGAATCTCTCTTTTCACATTCTTTCTACGTTCATTGGAACTTGAGGTGTCACCTGTGAATCGAACAGCAGCTTCCACATGGACAGCGCTGCCTTCGCGGCAAAGCTGGTCACCGCGTGTGGGTGGAGCCTCGGAGTCTCGGTCTGCAGCGTCAGGTTGGAGATTTCCAATTTGAGGACAGGGTCAAAAACCTAATACAAATATATAATAATATATAATGTATAAGGATTGATTCAACATATGTGTATGTGTATGAATATATATATATATATTATAATTATTATATAATAATAATTATATATAAGAGGATCCCAAAAAAGTAAAACGTAACAAAAGGAAGGAAATGCGAGGAAATGAGAGCAAAAGAGGGAAGAAGGAAGGAAGACAGGAAGGAATGTTAAAGAAAAAAATCAAATGTTTGTTCTTATTTTTGAGATGTCCATATTCTATGCACCCTATATGTATGTGTATATTATATATATACATATCTCTATCTCTCCCTGTATACCTATGATACCGACCTCTGATTCATGCCATGCTGCTGTCCCTACACTTTTGTGGCAAAGCAATGCCTTTCAGGCTGGAACCACACCGTTCCCCCCCGGGCCTCGAGTTGGGCGCTCGGTTATTCGATCACGATGATTTCATTTTATGGATTCAACATTCTGGAAATTTACATCGAACATTTACGTATGGTTACAAATATCATATATATATATACATTATATATACTTGTATCAGATATATATATATATATATCAGATATATCCACATGTTGAATCATAGTGAATTACCTTTCCTTCAAGGCTGGCTTGGAAATTCCCATGGAAAATCTGTGCTTCATCGCTGGGAAATCATCGAATTGTCCCGCCATGCCTCGCTACGAAGGGCGAGTTGGAAATGGTGAAGACCACAACGGCTCCAACCGTTCCAAGCTTAGATGGCAAGGGATGGGTCGAAATTTAGCACTTAAAATTGGTTCTTAATGGTGTAATGTTCGATAAGGATTTATACTAGACTATAGGTTTTATTGTGGCTTATAGTGAGTTATTCATCATGGAATGACCCGTGGAAATACAAGAAACTTGCATTTTTTTCCACTGTTATTCAATGGTACCTCATTTTGGAACCATGTCCACATAAAATCAGGATCTGAGTCAAAAAATACGACACAATGGACGAGATGTATGCTGGGCATCAGGGAGTTCGGATAAATTTCATGTAGTCATCCCGATTTTTGTTTCGGAATATCCGTGGAGCAAATTCAAAGATCATCCAAACATATTCAAAAGAATTTGTCAGGGTCATATGCAGGCCATTCTTCTCAAATTTTGGTCGATGCCAAGGCTTCCATGGCAGGGAACCCCAACTGAAAACCGCCCATTGTGGTCCCGGTCCCACGTCGAGTAAACCGAGACTTCGTGGTTTGGCTCCGTTTGGCAGAAAGATCTTGGACCTCACAGACGGCAAATCTTTCTTTAGACTTTGCAGCAGGGAAAATGATGGAAAATGCCCCACAATGATGGACAGATTCAACAAATTCATGGGCAAAGTATGGCACAGTGAGCAGAACTCAGCATGAAGACTACCACATCTTCGCATCACAAAATTCCGGCCAATGGCGCTGGCAAAAGACGATTTGCTGGGAAAGCTCGCTGTCGCTTTACTCAAAGCAGAAGGGCTGTTGCATGAAACATCTCATTGTGCTGAAGATTTGTCAGTTGTTTCAGACCAGCAGATTCCGTTTCGCTGAGTCTATCTAGCCTGCCCTATCCGAAATGAATGATGTGCTGTAAAGTGATGTAAAGTGCGTATCCAGAGCGAATGCTAAGAAGTGGAACGTTCAGCAGACAACTATCCAGCCACTCAGCTCAACTGGCAAGACAACAGCTCATCAGCTCACGACCAGCTACCTCCAATCTCCATCTCTCCTTTGGTTCTTTTTTTCATTTCGCAACCCCATTTATTAATATTTACTATATTTTATTATCATGTATTCCTATATTTTATATTATTTTATTCGTTTTTATTCCCTTGTTCCTCAGATGCGGATGCATTTGTGTCGGAGGTGGGTAAAGCCCAGCCATGGGTGTCCCCCACTTGAGATTCTTCGTGGTTCTTCAATTCTCGGTAAATTATAATAAAGAGTCGAGGATTAATGAGGATAGCCGCTACAGCCATGCTGAAGTTGTGTTGAAAGTTGGCTAGGCACGAGTTATCGCCTACTTGTGAGATCCACAGCCAAAATCTCAAGGCTTGTGGACAGAGCACGATGGAAACAGAGAGAGAACACATTGAATCCCATGATATCCCATGGACATGCAGCTCACCCAGCATGGTGCTGCCAGTTGTCTGCAGGGGACTGCCTTTGAGAAGTTCATTGGGAACGGACAGGCAAAGAACCTGTTCTTCAAAGTGCCTTCAGGTTGGGCGCAGCGATGCAAGCTACGCAAGGTGGTATGTCAGGATATGTCTGGTATGTTGAGATTCACCGCTGCCATGCATCTTAGCAGACGAATGACGCTTAAGCGTCGTCAGAGGCGGAGGTGTCTTGAAGAATCGATTATTCTTGGTGTGCGCGCTGGTGGAAACCGCGGCTGGGCAGACAGTGAGAGACAGTGAGAGCCAAAAGAATCTCTATCCAAAGAATCTTGATACATTACTATTACCATATATTACCCAAACAAGGCAATGTCTCTATATCAACCTGTTGGAAACATGGAGAATACGCACAAAGGTTTTGTTTGTTTGTTCCCTTTGGGCTTTCAACTCCAAAGAGATTTGATGAGCAAACAGATAAGCCCTCCGCCTTTGGTATAGTGAGGTATCCTGTCTTTGTCCCACGGACATGTATCATTTTGTGTTTGGGACCAGCCATCCAGTAGCTAGCCATCTGCTTTTTGCTGACATTGAGACAAGATACCTTGAATCTGTCCTGCAGAACTGGAAGGAAACTGGTGCATTTGATGCTGTTTGGTTCTAAATCCGCAAGTGCTTCAGGAAGTGGACAACAAGGCTCTCTCAGGTCGTTTGGGGATCAAGCAGTCTGCACCTTTGAGATTTGCTTCAGATGATCCTCGGCATTTGGACATGTTCAGCTGGAGTCGTTGAGACACGTTTTGGACTTGTTTATTTTGTTTTGATATGCGTTTTACATTTAGGGCATTTTAGGGCATTTTAGGACACATTTGCGGCTTCAGTTGGGGACTTCCTTTGCTCGTGGCATCTGCATGGCATCTGCATGGTATCTGCCTCTAAGGACATTTTTGATGATGTGCTGCAGATTCCAAAAGGTGGGGAGATTGGCATCCAAAGTGTAGGGTATGGTTGATGAATCATTGATGAATCATTGATGAATCATTGATGAATCATTGATGAATCATTGATGAATCATTGATGAATGTTGATTACAAGTGCAAAATGCCTATGATTGTTGCAAAATGTCACCAACTTCATGGAATCTGAACAGAGCTTGAAGCCATTTGAAGCCATTGAGAGAGGCAGAGGTGGAGATTTCGTGGAAAGCAAAGCTGAGGCTCAGTGAATCCCTTCGTTCTGGCGCAGCAATCTTGCTCTGAAGTCTTTCTCCTCCTGGACAAGAAATTTCAGACATGTGAAGGCAACAGCGGGCCATTGACCCATTGACTTTCAGGCTTTCAGTTACAACATGTTGGGAACATGTTGCAGTCATTGCAGCTCAATTTCCCATTCTTGCCATTTCCTGCCCATGTGATCTCGCGTTTGCATGCTTTTGCCATTCTTTGTCGGTGTCATGGTGTCCCATTGCGTTTTGTTCCTAAAGCGCTGCAAGGCTTGTTGTTCCATCCCATGCAGAGTGACTTTACGACGTGTCTCACTCCGAAACAGCTCGACGCATTTCTGGAAAGGGCAGCTCCAAATCGTTTTACGTACATTGTCCGGTCCCCAGAGTGAGCGGCTGGTACTTTGCTTGTGTTCAAATCACTTCAGACAGCTATCTTTTACCACTCTGCGTGCAGAAGATATACTTGGACTTGAAAGGACTTGAAAAGACCTGCGTATGGCGGGAAGGTCACTTTCTCAATAGGTAACTTGATCAACTTACATTTCCAGAATCTTCCAGACAGTCCAGAGATGGAAAATATTGGAAATTTTACATTTCAGGACCTCTCATCGAGCGACAAGATTGATGTGCCACCAATGGTGCCGGCACCTACGACATCGAAACCATCGAAACCTACGCAGCCACCCGCAGTCGCGCCAGTCGTCAAGGAGAGTGGAGTTTGCTGATGGATCGGACGGATCGGACGAATCATTCTGCGATGTCTTGAGAATTCTTGAGATATCTTAGCCTGAGGACAGTGGATCCAATGGCTGGTACAGCAAACCCTACGAGAAGCTACGTTGCAGTATGGTTGCAGTGTGCGGTGACTCATCAAACTGGTGGGTTTCAGACCGGCCCCTTTGAAAACAATCCAAATCCACTATGGTGTGCAGGTTGGTAAACCCGTAAACCCGTAAACCCCTCAATCTACTAGACTAAATGTTATGTTATGTTGTATCTAATGAGAAAAACCTACTGGTTCTGGTAACCTGTCGATCCTGTGGTGTGGTTCCAGCACCGCAAGGACTGTTATGGGTTGGACTCTGTGAAAGGCAAAGACGACTTGAATCTGGTGAGGAGAAAAGGACCAGATACCTGTGGCATCCTGTGGCAGCCGCAGCGTTCGCATTTGCTCATGACTTTGCGTTGCTGACGTGGCAATTGTGATCAGCTGGGGGTGAACTGGGCGGGAATCCTTTGACATCCCACTGGCTCAGGCGTTGCTTTCTGGCGCCAGCGTGCCGCGACCGTGCCATGGCGAAACATTGGTGCAGGGTGCAGGGTAGAGTCAAGTCTCAACATTCAATGTTGTGTTGCCCTTGGCTTCAATTGTTTCTTTCTAGCATCAGGACCACCTCGAGGTTCTCGAAAAGGAAAATATTGCCAACATTTGCTGGATTGATAGAGGCAATCAGGTAGAAACGTTGAGGACAAGGATTTAGAAAAAAGCATGATGTTACAGCACTCATGCATGAGCCCCCTTTGGCTGATTGCTACCTCGGTTTCTGCTTGTCGCAGTGTCAACTGTATCCTAGATCGAAGCTAGCAACCGTAAAGTTGTTCTGCATTCAGATTATTAATAAAGTTGAACTTACGACAACCTATGTGATCGATTTGGAAATTATTGAAGTCCATCTGTGGTATTCTGTGGTCCCAGTAAATGAACTGTCATGAACTTCATGAAGCTCCAAGAGCCAGTTTGGACCTGTCCCAACTGGAGAGGAACCGGGGGCTTTCACCCTGACATGCAAACCCAGGCTGCTGCCGATAAATCGGGCCATCTTCCAAGTTGGCAGGAAGTACATTGAACTCTGGTTTGACTGCAAGTGTTTTTATTGGATTGCAGCCCCCTGTGACTTGTGGATCTTTCGTTGTTGAAAAGTTTTGCTGCCATTTGCTGCGCGCTTTCCAGAAATGGGACCTTTCGCGCCACGACGCAACGCTGAGGTAGAGCCTCCCTTGGCCCAGCCCACTGCATCGCCAAGGCAAGGCTTAAGAGTGTCTAGATACATCTAGATACCTTTAGTATCTTTAGTATTTTTTAGTCATGTGATTCTTGGCAATCTCTGCAATAAATCGTCAATCTGATAGTTTTTTGTCTCTGAGGTATTGCTTGAGGCGCGATGTAGCATCTGCGTGGGCTTTAAGCCAGAGCCTGAAAATGCGCTTGCAATTCGACTGTGCTAATCAGCCAGTTTTTGGGTACCCAAAGACATTTGACCATTGTACAGACTACACATGTTAGTGTTGTATCAGCTTCGAGACAATTTGGTGGCATCGAGTTGGATGATGTTGGCAACGAGACAATTAGGTGCCGATGCTAAGGTAGCGGGTGCTCGTCTGTTCCCACCCCAATGGTGAGGCACAGCAGTCTTCTTTACATTTGCTCAATCCTTTCCTCCTTTCCTGGAGCTTTGAAACCCAGCTGCTTCAGGGAATGCCAGACACCAGCGGTTTCTGACCCAGTGCAGAAGTTATCACCCGACTCACCCGACTCACCGGATCTTGTTTCGCTGAGTCACCGGCTGCACGGCATGCCCAGAGTCTCCCGGGAGGCGTGGTTCATCGTGGTTGACAGTTCCAGAGTCAAGGATTCAGTGCTTCCGCGGTTCATTTTGTTTCGATCAGAGGTGCTACTCCAGAAAGATCATCAGCTTCGAGGTTCGCTGCCTACCTGTCTAATTCTAGCCAAATTGTAATCAAGTAGGATTGCCACTTGTTCCAAGATGTTCCATGTACGATAAATATGACGAAATACAAGTAGTACCCGCACGAGGCGGGGCGGAAGTTGCCTTAGGGATACATTATAAGACCTTTCTCATCTATAGAACTTTCATGCACCGTGCGCCAGCCAGGCCCATGCGTGCGTGCTTTGTGCGAAGCTGTTGCGCTGCTGTCCAAGAACATGACCTGAGCACGACCCCGGCGCAATGCAACGCCAAGCAAACACTTTCTTCACACTTCGCACTGCACTCTTCACACCCCGCACTCCACACTTCACACTTGCACTTCACACTCCACACTTCGTCTCATCTCATCTCATCTCATCTCATCTGAGCTCATCTCATCTGAGCTCTTCTCATCTCATTTCATGTCTTCTCAATATGTACTACTCTGTGCTACAAAGCTTGCACAAAGCACTCCCCAGTACTACTGTGTACTGCCCAGCTGCAAAAGACATCAAAAGACAATAGTATTACGCATGCAGCCGTGGCACCGAGCAACCTTGACGCAGCCATTACAATGCGATATCGAGATATTGAATAGCAAAACACAATAGGACTACGCGCAACGGCGTGAAAAATTGCAGCTCCAAGACCGGCTCTCGGCGCCAAAGCCAAAAAAAACGATTTTGAAGCACTTTTTACAAAGAATTTTCAAAGTAAAACCACCAGCGCCAAAATTAAGCAACTCTAGTGACAAATCACTATCGCAACCTTGATGCAGCCACTCCAATACGATTCACAACTCTCAGCTGCAAAAGACAATAGTATCACGCACGCAGCCGCGGCGCCAAGCAACCTTGACGCAGCCATTTCAATGCGTTTTGCAGCATCACGTGCCAAACGCGCATCTCTCTACGCACATGACAACAAAACGTGACACCAATCATGCAGCCATTGCACTCTGCGATCTGCAACCACAGATGCAATAAGCGCATAGAAGTACGCACACATGAACGACCACACGTTGCAGAACACCAAGCAAAAACCGATTCGACGATGAAACGAGCGCAGCCGCACTTGCCGCACACACGAAACACTTTTCACCGCCATCCGAAGCCACTTTAAACGAAAAAACACGGTTTCGTGCTCCAGCTTCCTTCCCAAAACAAATACATCCATGCAGCCATTTCAATGCGTTTTCCAGCACCACGCACACATTCATGCAGCCATGACTTAGGCACCACACCACGTCCGAAAGTCACCATTTCCCTAGGTAAACATTTCTCTTAATCGCCACTTCCCTTCGGCACCACTTCCCTTCGTCACCACTTACCTAAGTCAGATGTGTTGTTATGTGATGTAAAGTCTCACCCTTCATTGATGTATTGTTATGTGATGTAAAGTCTCACGCCACCCTTCATTGATATATTTTTGTGTGATGTAAAGCCTCACACCACCCTTCATGATGTATTGTTATGTGATGTGGAGTCCTACGATTCTGTTTGTCCGTAACTCGGAAGATTGCTTCTCAACTTCCTTTGATGATAACATACGCTCAGATATCAGACGATATGATGAACATGTTGCTTTTGCATGCTTTTGCGACCAAATCGTAATGAGTAGCTGCAAGGAGATCGCCTCGCGTTGAGACAAAACCAGGCCGGAGTGCAGTCTGCAGTGATAGCCAACATGAATGGTTGAAATCGGCGCTAAACCTACCAGGTTCTGCTGGTGATCATGGCTCTGCACAGGCCAGAAATCTTCCTGAGTTCATGGATGTCACCAGTAGTGGAACTCTATCAACAGCAAAATGCGAAACAGTTTTTCAGATATCTGCAGTTGCTGTTTCTGTCGAACTATTTGCTGGAAGATGCTGGAAGGCTCCTCAAGACACTGGCATCCCTGCAGTTTGGCAGCAAATTTCAGCTGGCAGTACCACGCAGCCACGGCAGAAATGTGTTGGCGTCAACTGCCACCAGAATGTGTTGACCTGCCTGATGCGATGCTAAGGCAAGTCCATTCTGTGCAGCTTCAGGCAGGTGCTTTGCAGACCCATTCGACTGTTGCACATGTTACATACCTCGCACATCTCAGGTTCAGTTGGAGCCATGGCACAACGTTCACCCAGGGTCATTCCTCCGGGCGCGACATCCTCAAGAAATGAGCCGAAAAGGTCGATGTTTGATCGCATCAAACTGATCAAACCAACGGTTTTTTTGGAGGTTGGAACTGGTGGCACAACCCCAACGTGTACAACACCAGTGGCTCCTACTGGCCGGAACGTTCATTGCTTAGGGAGTTGCATCCAACATTAGAAAATGAGACATGGTAAGACATATGTTCCAGCCAACAAAATCGGGATGCGGAGACAAAAACTGGGAGGGCAATCCATTTGAACATTGAGATCATTGAACGTCATTGAACTGTGCATGATCTCCCCTGAGGAAGTGCCGTTAAAACATGGGCCAGATTTTTCATCCGCACTTGGCTTTAGGTCAATGGAGACCCTGAAGTGAAGGTCCCAACCGTTTGGGGCCTCAAAGATCTTCAAAGGCAACCACAAACGCTTGGGCGACATACAAAGGTTGATTTACAGGCTGCAAAGGGACATGGAAAAATTCATAAAAAATGCCGTCTTGCCCGATCTTTAGAAATTGCAATTCTCACAGGTCAGGCCCATACGCTATCCCATCAGAGCAATCCAAAACGCTGAGATCGACCTGTGTGAATTGTCGTTTGGGTCATGTCAATGTAAATGATATATTGTAATATATTTGGTTGATTTTGATTGAATTTTGATGATGTGTGTTATGCTTGTTATATTTGTTTGGTAGTTCGGTAGGCTAACGAGCATGCGAGCATCTTCGCAATGCTTTGGTGCGCAACAAACTCTCATCGCCCAGGCTTTGACGGCTGTACCACGAATGTGCCGTGGTGATATCTCGGGGTGGGGCGGAAGGAAGTGAGCACTTCGTTCGGCAACTCTATACATATATATATAATATATATATATATAATATATATATATATTATATAATTATATATATACACATGTACATATAGCACATGAAAACAACTGTATATAACTCAAATATCTGTGAAACTACAAGTGAGATTGAATATTGGTCTCGGCCTACTTTTGAACGCATGATAGATTTTGTATCCCGGAATCTCGCTCCAAGGCCCATGAGTTGGCTGCCGCGGGATCAGCGGGTCATCATCTAAGCAGGGGGACCGGTGAAACTTTGGATAATTTTTAGATGATTAGCATGTGGTGGATTTTGTCTTCATGATACATGCATCAATGGTTTTTTTCGATGTTTCTTTCCGATGTTTTTTAGTCTGAAACATGGTTAAACAGTGAAGTTGGATGGGAGTCATTCAGGCTTCGGCTACCATGTGTTGTGCGTTTTTCCAGAAATGGGACCTTTCGCGCCACGATGCAACGCCGAGGCAGAGCCTCCCTTGGCCCAGCCCACTGCATCGCCAAGGCAAGGCTTATATAGAAACCTCCTCGGCCACCAGGTGATACAATGCAGAACTGGAAAACAGGGTTTCAAATTCTATAAAGCAAAAATGGTTTGCCAGAATCTTTTGGACCCAGCCATTGCTCCCTGAGGTATTGCTTTAGGCGTGATGTAGCCTCGACGTTGGCTTTGGGCCCAAGCCTGAGAAGTGAGGCAAAAAGGAAAGAAACGCAACGATTGCAACGTCACCAGGAACAAACGAGGAAGAAGTTGGCAAAAATAATCAAGCAAACAAGGAAGATCAACTGAAGATCATGGACTTGAGAACGATGTAGTTAGAACTATGGGAGCAAAAAAACTCTGACAAGTTTGGCTACAGCAGCGATAGCAATCACAGTGCTGTATCATACTTATTTTGCAAAAAATAAGTGCGCAGGCATCGCTTGCTCAACATCTCAAACCAGATCACACTGAGGTAGTGGCTGCGCATCTGTTCCCACTCCGAACACTCCGAACACTCCCATGGTGAGGCGAGCCCGTTTCAGCCGTCAGCTGATCTGTTTGCAGAGAAGCGCTGCCTCAGGGAATGCGTACTGCCTCCCGCAGCCATGGCCACCATGGCCATGGCCTTTGCCATCCTTTGCCTTTTGCCATCAAAAACGGTTTTCAGATGCTTTCAGAACAGCTTCATCCGACTCTATGCTAAGTATTGCTAAGTCACCTGCCATGCGGCATGCCCGAAGTCTTCCCGGAGGCGTCTTGCAGAGTCTTGAAACACAGCTCTTTCTCTTCACCAAATTGCATTCAACATCATTCAACCAAAGAACCGTGGCTTTCCCCATGGCTTTTGTGATCTTTCGTGTAATTGGCCAGGCACTGTTTCGCTAACTCCTCGACGGCAGGAGGTGGAACTCTGAGTTCTGCAAGAAATACGTTACATACGTTACATACGTTGCATACGTTACATACGTTACATACGTTACACACGTTACATGCGTTACATGCGTTACATACGTTACATACGCTACATACGCTACATACGTTACATACGTTACATACGTTACATACGTTACATGCGTTACATACGTTACATACGTTACATACGTTACATACGTTACATACGCTACATACGCTACATACGCTACATACGCTACATACGCTACATACGTTACATACATTACATACGCTACATACGCTACATACGCTACATACGCTACATACGCTACATACGCTACATACGTTACATACGTTACATACGCTACATGCGTTACATACGTTACATACGTTACATACGTTACATACGTTACATACGTTACATTACATACGTTACATACGTTACATACGTTACATAAGTTACATACGTTACATTACATTTCATTGCATTACGTTACATACGTTACATTACATTACATTACATTACATTACATTACATACATACATACATTATTCTTACATATATCATCATATATAATGATACATCTTAGATTGTCTTACACGTTCTTACATGATTTTTCTTCTTGTGCCATGTTTCTCAGGCAGGACAAAAACTGCGCGGGCCTTGGATTTGCACTGGTTCTCCTGGAAATTGGTGACAGTCGAAACGGTCGAAGCTCACTGTCACTGAGCTCAGGTCGCACATGCCTTCGGTCATCCCATGGGTGCCAGGCTGCCGGGGCAAGAATGCATCATATGCAAGTCATATGCAAGTCCTATGCAAGTCATATGCAAGTCACAACTCCGCAATCGCAAAAAATAGAAATGACTTAAAAGACGTTGCGATCACAAAAAAACAAAACCTCTCTCCATTTTGGTCGATTGAGTCATATTGAGTCGGTCGCCACTGGTTATACTTTCCGCACAGCCTGGCCAGGTTTGCAAGAGCCCATGGCACGTGGCCAGCTGAGAACGCAATAGAATCTGCTTGAAGTTGTGACAAAGGAACAGGATGGAAAAGGTTTGCAGCTGCAACCGATTGAATAAGATTGGATCATCTATCATTTGATGTTGCATGAATGAATATAAAGAGTATGTATAATATTGTATAATTATGTATATATATATATACACACGTGTGTGTATATACATGGTGAGACAACTTTGGATACCCAACGCGGCAGAGCCACAAGTGGACACAGATTTTCAAATGCCGGGTGCGCTCCGATTGAACCGCACGGCATTTGAGGCAACATTGATCCTGCTGCACCCGCGCGTGAACCGGTGCCCAAGTTGTCGGAGATCCTGAATGCGGATGTCTCCCTGAGATACCATGCGTTTCATTCTGAGCGTTCAGCAAAATGATCAGATTGCAACGATTCACATGGGGGTTGTTGATGTTGTTACATGTTGTTACGGGTGCAGAGTTCAGACTGTTTTTTTCATGGGGAGATTCCTGCGAGGTCAGGCCACACACAGGTCAGGAAACAACGACTCGCCGGGCGCACCGGGAACATGACTGAGGACAAGGCACATGGCATCCCCGACGAACAACTGAAAACGAATGTCATCGAATGTCTAAAAGCATAAAAAACCTATAAAAGCCTCAAAAGTCACAACGAGGGATGGAGGTTTAAAGCATTTAAAGCGTTTAAAGCGTTTGAAACGTTTAAAGTTGAAGCTGATTTCGGTGTGGCCACAGCCAGCTGTAGCTGATGGTTTTGTGACCGGAGACTGAGAGATTCGCCGAGCAACTCACCTCTAGAAGCAACTTCCGTTACATTTTATTCCGCAAGATTCTGACAGGAAGGCTACTGGGAAATCGCAGAAGGCGGAGGCCAAACCAAGAAGTGGTGCAGCTATCGCATTGTGATGTCCATGTAGGCAAAATCAGAATAAAGCCTCCCAGAACTACAGATGTTGGTGATGTTTAGTGATACACTGTCCCATTTGATGTGAACAAAAGGCCTCAGCACCTTCGGTGCGGGTTTGGGCGGAATTCTTGACCTATCCATACCTATCCTGTGATCCTGTGCCAGGAAAACAAGAATTCATCTACACAGTTTGAGTCGCAAAGTCGCTCAGAGATCGGATAAGAGCCAACGCATCGCCGCAAATGGCCCCCAGACCTGGCAGAAAAGGGCGAAACCTTGGATTCCAGGTCTTCGCGACGGAATTGGTATGAATTGGTACCATGTTGAACCTACTAGTCTTATCTAGTCTTTATATACTCTAAATTCAAAATGGCCCAAGTTTGCGATTCCTGAGCATGAAATCATATGAAACCATCAATCAATATTCCACTGCAAAATTTGCTGCACATGGATGCAGAATCACAAGATGTCGCACAGCTACAGGTACCGATCCAGAGTTGCTGATCATGGTTCCACCCGAACGTTTGGTCCGGGGGCGGAGTTCATGTTGTCCAGTTGTATGCCGCTGTATGCCATTGAATTTCTTCATGTGTTGAGTCCAGCTTAGGCAGTGACTTTGCTCTATCAATGCTCCAGCAATATCCGCAAGTTCAAGGAGGCAGCGCAATCCCCTCCCTGAACTTCCCTGAACACCCACAATGCTGCCGGTCACAGGTCGGCACTAACGCATCGGTGCAGGAGGGTTGTGTGTGCATTTTCTGCTGAGGTCTCCTGCAAATTTCTTCGAGGTATTCATTGCATGACAAGGTTGCGCATTCCACAACCCCATACAACCCCCTTTGTAGTTCCCATATTCGTCACACCAAAGGTCTTCTACCAACGGCCTGTTTGGGGTTGCTCATTTTGGTGCAAGCAGTCGGGTTGCTGCATTGCTGCTGCTGTCTATAGGAACGTATTCACAAACGCATGTCTCCCCACAACCGTACTTTTTGCGAACCTACACGCCAGAGCATTGTAATTTACACTCTAACAACATTGGTAGTTACTTCTACAGTATTTTCTCTTCAAAGCCCAGAAAGACATTATAATTTGCAGTGTTTTTTCGGAAGCCGTTCCAAAATCGTTGTCTTTACAACATGTTCAGCGCGTTCCCTTTAAAAATGCAGCATGGTAAAATAAGATAAATAAGTGATTTTGCACCTCAAACTACAGACAGTGAGGAACATTTGCAAAACGCCACCATTTTTCATGGTTTTCCACGTCGGCAAAGCAAAAGGAGTCCCGAGCGTCCAGTTTCTAATCGTTGTAAAACCTTTTCCTCCAAGGAAGGCTGCATTGATGAGGGTCTCTTCCATAGAAAATGGGTAAAAGGGGATGCTAGGGCTGGATTTGCTTGTATGTTGGCCGGTGTATTTTTAATGTTTTTTGTTTTATGTATGTTCCTTGGTTTTGATGTTGTTTGTGTTGGGGCTTCTGGGCATTTCTGGACCAATTTTGAAGCTACTTACACTCTTGATGCTGGGCTTGGATAGCAGGAGCTTCCTCAAGTAATTTAACAATATTGTGTTTGTGTCCAAAGCTTCTTTGCAAGGAAAGTGCGGCATTGAAAACACATGTGCTTTATCCTCTATATTATTGCTTTTCTGGTCATAGTCCGGCAATGTGTTACTGAAACAGCGGTACATGCCCCATACCCGGCTACTTGAACAGCTGCCGCGTGTTGAAGGGTGGCATTGGAAACAAAAGGATGAACCTTGGTTTGTAGTGGATTGGTTCATGTTTGGGTTCCCTCTCTGTGGAGGATGTGGAGGTTTACTGATGTTTGGGTATGGGAAATGATGAGAATCGTCACCAAGACACCAAGACATGGCATGGGCCTTGCAGACACTGCAGGAACAACAAAAGCGGATTGAAGCTGAAGGACAAAAGTTGAGCTCCGAATTGGTCTACCTCAAGCAGTGCCCAAGTGCCCAATCTCAGGTTTGTCTCGATCTAGTAGCCGGGTGGTCCATCTCCATGAGTTAATCATAGTGAATCAGATTCCCTATTCACGTCGCCATCCTCAAGTAATAACATGTAAGAACCAATTCTTGGACACACCCATACTATTCTCCCCCACATTCTCAGATCTTGCGCAGCTGAGGTACGTTGGGAATGCCTGTGGTACCATCGCCTGCATTCATAGCATTGGCAACAACTCCCAGGCCACTTCACCTGGTGCAGATTGAGATCCATCCAGTTTGATTCCAATGGATCAAAAACATGTTTCCAACGCCCAACTGATTTTCATTTTGACGTTCTTCTGATTTTCATTGTTTTTTCACATGTTTTAACGAAAGTTAACTAATTTGTAAAAAAAAAGCGCAGTGGCGTTTTTTCATGTGCAATCCTCATCTTTGTGGCAGCGGTCGACTTTCATCGTCCAGCCAGGTCATGGGTATATCTGAAGAGTCTCCCATCGGAAAGTTTTTGACGACGATCAAAAGCAAGACGCCACAGGAGCTTTTTTGGGAGACGACTGAGCAGGTGCCATAAAAGCCATGAGGGAAATCCTCCACTTGTGCTCCAACCTTCGGCACAGGATGCAGGTCTTGCACTGGTGGATGCCACGGATATGCATTCAGCGTCGGAGGCGATCAACGGGAGCGTTCCAGATGCCACGGTGGTGAAGAAAGCTGGCTATGATAAATACATATATATATATATTATATTATATATATATGTATATAAATACTATAAAATGCGATGTGCCCCCCAAAAAAGATAGACAAAAGGCTGCTGAAATAGTGAAAAGGCACTCTTCTATCTTGTTTGGGGTTACGATGCACTGTGTATTCTATATGTATATATTATATATGTGTGTCTGTGTTCCATACTTATATGTTAATTAATACAATACATCAAACCATGTTTGGTTCTGACCTCCCAATTTACTAACCAGGAGAATTCTTGCCTGAGGCAAGTGCTCAAGGTGGACAAACTGCAGCCCCAGAGGCAGGGCGATCGAGGTGTCCATTGGAACAAGGTCAAGGCAGCGATGAATTTGGTGGATAGCAATCCCATAGAAAAAAGGCGATCCCATAGAAAAAAGGACCATTTTTTGTTGATAGATGTTCGAACTGATTATTATTTATTATTGTTTATTGTATGTCTCCTAAAACCTTGACCCTACTTAAGACTCGCCCTAAAAGTGCAGAGGACATATCGGATGCGGATGGCAAAGACATTAGGACTTGGAAGCCCGCGCGATATGGTTTTATGAGACGGTCTCGAAAACTGCAGCATGGGCTGCATGTAAAGATTAGCTCAATGTCCACCAGCCAGCGACATGAGGTCAAATTTTCAAGTTTTATTGTTAGCCTTCACATCCTGAACAGAGGCAGCAAACTCTACTAGAATAGCAGGGCGGAGATCAATTGCGGGTTGTGCTTCCATCAATGCTGGGTAAGTTCTGTCACAAGAAATCCATGATCAAAGATAGAATCATAAGAGCAAAATAAGCACAAACAATGTTTACAGGCACCAAATTACAACATCCAGAGACCTTTTTTGACAGTTTCTGTTGAATGTCAAAGGTTGTGAAAAGCACCAGGGCCTTGCCAATGAAAGCATCAGCAGGCAACTGCTGACGTTGATGCGCATTTCATTTGCTTTGTGGAGAATCTTGGCTTTGCATTTGGCAAATGTATGAATACTATGCAATAGTGCCGCACTTGTGAAGTTCAGCATGGCAGAATCATCCAGGATTTCCAGTGTGTCCTTTATGGTTGCTGTGGGGATTCGGTTCCGTTTGCCATTGCTATTCCTAGGAAAGACGGCGATCTCTACGAACTAGACGGAAACAAGGCATTGCGATGTCACGATTTTCCCACTAGACAGACAACCTCAACATGCTATGAACAACACTGGTGTTGTTTTCAGTTGCTTCCATGATGCTAGTTACTCTAATTGCAACTAATTCTGTTACAGAAGCATTTTCCAATTTTCCATGGATTTTTTGATCAGCCATTTTTTTCACACCGTGTAGCAGATTCAAACGTGCCATTCCAACGGCGCCCTTCGGTCCAGTGGGTCCAGTGGTCCAGGCCTTTCCGATCAACCACGGTCCAGTCGGAGGTGATCTGTTGGAAGCAGCCGCACAGGTCATCAAGGTGTGGACCTGGGAAGATTATGGAAGATCTCCTATTAAAAAGCCATGAGCTTTCCAAGATTTTCCATTAGTTTCCCAGAAGAAATGAAGGATGGACTATGACTAAATATGATGTCATTTTTTCATGAAACATATGTATTTCTTCCGATTTTCCCTCAAAGCCAGTATGGGACTACCAAGAAAATTGCATGTGGGATTGGATTTATGAGTTCCCAGCTTGTACCAAGCCTCTCCATTGGATGCTGTGGTGTTTCAACTATCCAGGCCAACTTCATGGAACAAGATCCAGAAAGCGTGAACTTCAACATGCCGCAGTCTAAGAGGACGACAACCACTGGGTTCCGCTGCTGGCTAGTATGATACATATACCTATACGTATGATTCTAAGTATGTATAATGTATAAACATTATAATAGAACAATATAATTAAATGAGTATCAATATTATATAATATGACATTCCAGTTATACAACGGTCATATCTCATTTAAGCTGCGATGCATCCTGCAGATCCCATGGACTAAGGATGGCACTGGTGAGAAGCTGATCAGCCAAGCTCCACAAAAATTACAAACGGCGGCGAAAAAAAAGTTGCTGGAAAACCGGGTTTATAGAGAAGTTATCGAAGGAAGTTTAGAAGTCAAACTTCCGACAATATGGACAGATGAAAAGCAGAGCAGGGCAGAGGCAGAGAGAAGAGACAGATTAGAAGAGAGAAGATCAGAGAAGAGAAAGAGTCAGAAGAAAGAAGATGCAGATGCGCGAAAAGGTAGGAAAGTTGCTAAAGCGGCGGGTGCGGAGCCAGCTGGCCAGACGAGAGATGAAAAATTGCACGCCGTTGTGGCGCGAAGCACATTTCCAAGTCAAAATGTACAAAACACACCATGGTCGGAGCACTTTTGGAAGTAGAGATGTCAAAAAAGTGCACGCCGTTGTGGCGCGAAGCACATTTCCAAGTCAAAATGTACAAAACACCTCAGCTCCGGACCACTTTTGGAAGTTGAGATGTCGAAAAAGTGCACGCCGTTGTGCGCGAAGCACATTTCCAAGTCAAAATGT